GGGCAGCCGCCGGCGCAGTGGGCTCCAGGGTGCCCAAAGTAACCGCCGCATCGGCCGCGACGCGGCAGTCTGCTACAACGGGCAACGCGGGCGCCGTCGTGGAGGATGGGTAGTAGTAAAGGAGCCCCAACCCGCCGCTGTAGCACGCCCCAAAAAGCCCCGGCGCGCTGCACGCAGCCGCGTGCTCCATCGCCTGCGCCGCCGGCCGCTCGTCGCTGCGCAGCTGCGCGTGAGCGTGGCCGTGCACCTGCGTGTAAGCGGCCGCGGCGGCGCCGGGCGCGGCGGGGCCTGGCAGCGAGACGCGCCGCACGTGCGCGATCTTGTCCGCGAGCGCCGTCAGCTGCTGCGGCGCCCACTTCGACAGCGTCGCCTGCCGGCTGCGCCACGGCGGAACGGGCAGCCCCTGCTGCTTGAACGCCGCCGCCATCGCCTCGCACAGCAGCGTGGCAACCGCCTCCAGCCGCGAGACGGTGCCCACGAAGCAGGCCGGCACGGCCTCCAGGAGCGCCGCGTAGGCGGGCGTCGGCTGCGCGATCACAAACTGCTCCCTGAAGCGCGGCTCCACAACCAGGGGCTCTGGGAGGTAGTGGGTGTCGCCCACTGCGTCTGTCACATGCGCGCCGCCAGCCCCACCCCCGCCGCCGCCGCCCGGCCAGCCGCCGCCGCCGCCGCCGCGCTCCACCGCAGCCCCGCGCGCGCCCATGCAGACGATGAACCGGTGGCGCAGCTGCTGCAGGCACTGGCGCGCGTCCTTGCGGCGCTCTCCCGCCGCCTCATCGCGCAGCTGAACTAGGTAGCCCGCCGCCAGCAGATCCCGCGCGATCGCGCCCACGTCGACGCGCCCGCCCGCGTCCACGCTGCCGCGCGACGAGTCCCCGCCGCCGCCGCTGCCGCTGCTGCCCGGACGGGCGGCGCCGGCCACCGCGAGGCTCGGCGCGGCGGCCGCGGCGGGGCCCAAGGAGAGGCCGGGGGAGGGTGGGTCGGCGGCGAGGTCAGGCGAGGCGGGGGCCGCTGTAATGTAGGCGGCGCGCAGGTGGTGGAGGTCTTGCCACAGCTGCGGAGCGAGGCGCGGCGCATGGGAGGGAGCACCGGGTTGTTGGGGTGCGGGCGCGCAGGCCACTGGCGCTGCACCCATGCTCGACGACACAGTCCGGCACCCGCGCATGCGTGCGCGCACGCACCTGGCAAGTAAACAGCGACCCGTCCCGCAGCAGCGCGTGCATCCGCTGCACTACGGTGGAGACCGTGGCGCCGCCCTCGCCCGGCCCAAGCGTGAGCTGTGACCAGCGGCGGTCGAAGCCCGCGGCGCCATCGCCGCCAGCGAGGGCAGCGTCCATCTCGAGGAGCTCCAGGTCAAACACAGGGCTGAACGCGGACACCAGGTTGCCATGAGACCCCGCGCGCACGGCGGCGTGCCGCATTGGGGCGCTGGCCAGGCCAGGGGCCATCAGCTGCGGGGATGCGCATGCGTGTGCGCCGAGGTTGTTGGTGATGTGGATGCGAGGCTGAGCAACGCAGCCCGGCAAGCGACCCTGGGAGCAAGCCAGTGCGGAATACTGATTCAAAGGTGGTCCATGGACCGGAACCCAAGGCGTTGGAGGGCTCAGGCCGCGGCCACAGATGGCCCGCCGTTTGGTTCGGCACACGCCGCTGCCCCTGGTGCTGCAGGAGTACGTGTGCATGATAACGCATGGGTATCGAATCACCTCGGTCACCAAGCAGGGCGAGCCCGTATGAGGAGCTTGGCCCCTGCGTTCGCGGCAAGTGGCGCGTCCGGCTAGAGCGAACCCCATGCCATATCTTGGTTCTAAGTGAGCTTGATGCTACAACTTCTTGGACCGCCGACCCCTCCTAGATTTGCCTGGCCCGGCCACTGCTAGGATCGCTCGGAACAATACACAGCTCTCCAAACACAGTCTCTTTTATAAAAGAGGAATCATCACTACGTAAACAACGCTCGGCAACATCTGAGTTGGCTCGATCCTGGCGACGCTTGGTCGGCAGACCAGGTGGCGACTAGACAGGTTGTAAGTCGGCATGCGGGGCCAGGGCGCAGCCGCTACAGGCTATGAAAGGATTGTAAGAAGATTGCTGCATGGTGAGGCTTCTCAATGGCCTCAATCACCATGCCGTCGCCGTGAGGCGACGTTTCGATGATGACGAGGCAGATTTTTGAGGCATGATGGCGTCAGCCGTCAAGCACACGGTGGTTTATGCGGCACACTGCCACCAAGTGTGGTTACCTAGCGTGCGGACAATCTCTGAGTGCAACCCAACTGCTATGCACTTAGCCCATCTCCCGCGCAGGCATGCCGTCTACCCGGCTGCCGCTTGTGCTGCATCAATCCAGAGCCACTCGCTGCCACAACATTTGCCATCGCTACCACAGCTTGCCAGTCACGCCACAGGGCTTCACGACCGCTCAAGTCTTTGAACCTGCTCCCAAGGCTTTACATGCTGTCAAGTTGTGAAATTGGCAAGGCTTGCCAGGCGTTGGGTGAGGATACCCTCCCAAAAGTGGTTGAATTTGCCTCCCAGCACCACTCATGGCACCCGCGCTCTTGGTCAAACCCGATAGAACATTCAAGCCCTGCAGACATGATCAACAAAAATCAACAGGACAGGCGGGTGCACTCGAGGCTGCACAAGGGCCTCGCGCTGCCCAGTCAGGGGCTGCGGCACCAAGACGCGGCTGCCTCAGCTAGCAGCGTTCAATTCAGATGCATCGACTGAACAAGAAGAGGAGGTAAAAATGAAATGCGTATTAGTATCAATTGTTGTTGCTGAGGCCTATGATGGACAGGATCGCGATGAACAGCCTGAGGGGGTTGGTCAGGGCAAGGGAGAAGGTAGGGCGGGTGTCGTGAGCGAGGAGAGGGGGGCGCCTAGCTGCCCAGGGGCGCAGAGGGCGGCAACATTACTCAGTGACAGCAGCGCGATATGCGACTCACTGGACGATATCGAGGTAGATGCTCATGGCAGCCGCGACCTGTGGGATGGCGGCAAAGTTGGGTAAATTAGTGGTCAGGGCTTGCCGGCATTGGAAGGTGCTTGTTCTCAGCAGGGTGGGGGCGCGCAGCCAGACACGTTTGTGCAGGGTTCGGGTCAAGAGCCAAGGGCCGCCTGCGCTGCTCACGTAGTCGTCCGGCGAATACGCGCCCCGACGGCCGCCCATGACGGCCTGGATGTCATAGATGAGGTACGCGCTGAACAGCAGAGCTGCCAGCCCTGAAATTGCCAGGTAAAGGATCCTGGATGGGAGGGCGGGCATCGCAGTATGGGGGGAAAGCCACACCAGCGCGGGTTGTCAGCGTTCTGAGAGGCGTGCGTGGGGTGTGAGATGCACATTGCCAACCATGAATCTCAAAACAGGTCACGCTGAGAGGGATTTGTGATTTGGATTGTGCGTGCCCACGTCGTGCGAAACGCGCACTTTTCCAACACAGCACCCTCCTTCACACCCCCCCCCCCCGGTCAACCACCTGGCCCAGCACCCAGTTCCCTCTGCAACAAGCCCCACTCAGCGTCAAGCCAAGAATAGTGCCCACATGAGGCCGCAGCACGCGGCAAGGACACTGCTGCGGCCCAACGCCCACTGCTGCTCGGCCAGAAAGCCCAGCACGGCAAACCCCTGGCGTGTCCGCTCCCCCCAGCGGAACGCACTTGTTGCTGCCGCTGCGGAAGGGGAAGAACAGTCCCGCCAGAACCAGCACCAGAAGCACGATGGTGAGCACGCCCAGCATACTGCCCCACTTGGTGGCATCAATCTGTCAAGAGTGGAGCGGTTGTTGGCCACGTGGGCAGGATGGCATGAGACATGGCAGGCGGGAGTGGGACAGGGTCTCTCTGGGGGTACCTGATGTGTCAAAAATGCTGACTAATGCTGTAGGCAGCGCGCCCATCGCACAAACTGCGCTGCCGACAATGGCGAACCCGAGGCGCCTCACACCTTTGTGTTGATCGCGAAGATGGTCAGCCCCGCCACGGCGGCGCAGGTCACCAGGAACGCCAGCAGAACCGCCTGCCCGTCCGCCGAGTGTGATGGCGTGCGAAAACATTAGCGTGTGCATGCACACACACGCTGATCGCGTCAGCTGGACGCTGGCGAGCGGCAGCCAACGTGCAAGCGGCTGCAGGGAGTGAGGAGAAGCCGCCCTGGGCCTAACGTACGGGCGCCGTTTATGACGTGCCGCTGGGGACCGCGGGGCTTACGTCAATGTCGTGGAAGGAGGTGATCATTCCAACAAGCCAGGCTTCTGCAGGGGGAGCAAGCCGAGAGGGGGCAAAGCAGAGGCTGCGGGCGTCACAAGAAGGTTTGAGCGTCGCGAGGCGCGTGGATGCAGGGCAACGCCGGTGTGTGTGGAGTTGATGATGAAGGCACATCGTTGGCACAATGGTTGTGTGTTGTTGCAGCCGTCTTCAAGTTTCGTCCGCCCATGCAACAAAAATCAGGGTTGCGCGCAAGGCGGGCCCGGCCCCTGGGCTTCTGGCTCCCGACGCTCGCAGGCGTTGACTGCGCGGCAATTTTGTGACGCACCTGCGAGGGTGAACAGCCCCAGCAGGATGACATTGAGGGGGAACTGCCTGCGCGCCTTCTCGACGCCTGGGAACGCGGAAGGGCAAGCGTGGTGGGAGGGGCAAACGTGTGTGGTGTCGGTGACATCAGCGCATCTTGCCTCGGGCGTGAGGGGCCCGACACGACCCTGAACCCTTCCGACTCATCCGGCAGCATCGCGATGAGCCACACGTCAGCAGTTGCCGGTTCCACGTGCAACAGGTGAGACCGGCGCTTAGGGGTTCTCTCACATGAGATGACGAGGACGATGCCGAAAGCCACGCCCCAAGCCGCGTAGTACCTGCACGTGGCACACGCATTCCATTGGGTGCGCACAGCTGAAAGGTGCAAGGACCCCGTACATTCTGATGCGGATGTTCGCCCCAGGCCGCGAGGGTCCCGAGCCGGGGCATGTCGGGCCATCACGCAACAGCTGCTACAGAGGGTGATGCCTGCAAAGGGGCCCAGCGGGCCCCGCGTCCACTCTACACAACCAAGCGACCGACACTCACAGCGAGGGGTTCCTTCGGACAAAGAGACGTATTGAGGGCACGTACATGCATGCGCACGCGACGCCCACTGTGATCAGCAGCTGGATGAAGACGATGCCAAACACCTTGCGCACAAATGCATTGCTGGCGCGCAGGGAGGGCGGATGGCGGAGGGGGTCAATGCAGGAAGGTGCGAGGAGCGGCAGGGTGCTCAGAGTGGGAGCGGCAGGGTGCTCAGAGTGGGCCGGGGTGGGAGGGCGGCGTTGCGCACGTTTGAGGCTGGTGCCAGAGATGTGTGCAGCGCCCAAGGCATCGTCCTAGGTAGCTATGCGGTGTGTCGGCGCGATAGGGAAGGCGCAAAAAGGCTGCAGCCGTTCTGTGCTGCAAAGCAGCCAGGAAGCTCCACCAGCTCATCAAGCCGTCTGCAACACCACCCGCTCTATATTGGACAACTCTTGCGCATCCACTCATGCCACGTAGAAACGCAAAACCCAGACACAGGCCGCCAACCCAGCGCACACAGCACGGCCCCTCACCGCATCTGGGCGTCAGCAAAGGCCATGTCTGACGTCATCTGTTGGGACTCAGGGTCGGTTTGATTGGGGCCCATCATCATCGTGGGGGTCGGCATCGGCATCCCTGGCGGTGCCCCCTGCGCAGGTCAGTGGACAGCAGGGCAACTTTGATGGCGTCTGATCGTGCAGCGAGGAGACTGGGGGCAGCGTGACCGCGGCCGCCCGCTGGGTGTGGATGGCTGTGCGCCCTCGGGCAGCCGGCGGCGTGGCTGCAGCAGGCAGGCACCAATGATCCTGTTGGCTTGGTTCCAGGCTCAGACTGCTCATGGCATACCACAGGCCAAAACCAGCGAACTTCTGGTCTGTTCCTCTGTGCGTGCACGTAGTGTGTCCAGTGCATGCGTGCAGCAACCAGTGCGCCCCACCTCGCATGCTCATGTCCATAGACCCACCGTGCGGCCCTGCTGCTGCTGCTGTTGCTGCTGGTATGGGGCTCCCCATGGCTGCTGCGGCGCCTGCTGCTTGCCGTCAACTCCATTCCAGCCGGGGGCCGCGCCGCCGGGATGCGGCCCAACCTGGGGGTAGCCTATCGGCGGTGGTGGCTGATTCACTGCAGGCGAGGGAGCATACAGGATACCATGGGAAGTTGAGTAAGTTTGTGTTGCCCGAGCCCCTGCGCAGGCCGCTCTACACTTTGCACCACCACTGCAGCACGCAGGAGGCCGGACTCAGGCGGGACGCAAGCCGCCAGCGTTTCGCCTCTTCTCAAGCAAGTGACGATGACACACGTGATGAACGGAGTTGCATTCTCAGCGCATGTGAGGGAAGCATGCCCAAAAAGTTGCGGGGGAACTGTCCAGGAGCTGTCGTCCCCCCATTATCACCAAATCCCTCACTAGGCGTGCGAGTCTCGTCCCCACACTCACTTTTTCAACCTGCTGTGTAGAAGCTGAGCACCAGAAGGACCGAGCGGTGCGATCTAGACGGGCGAGCTTGTCCAGATGATGAGGGAAGCGTTGCGCAATTCAAGGAAGAATTCACGCGACAAATTTTCGTTGTGCTGAGCAAGTGATAAGTGGGCAGCACCAGTGTAACCCGCTGCCTGGTGGCACCCAGTTCGCGCCGCGAGCCGCACGTGCTGTGGGTGCTGTGCATGGAGCTGGCAGTATGGGATGTACATGCTGAAAGGAGGGCAGCCACGACTCTGTTGGCCTTCCACATCTCCTTTCCTGGCGTGAAGGCAAGGGAAGGCACCCAGGACCGCCCGCATTTTGCTGTTGCACTCCGACTGTTTGTGAAGAAGCAGACACAGCAGCGCCCGCTCGGTTGGCAACGCGTGATAACATCTGCGTGGTAGCATCAATCTTCACACGATTGCTGATTCTACGCGGGTTTCTGTGGTGGGTCGCCGCGGTTGACGCACGCATCCTCACGGACCCCAACGCGCCCCCCGTCACGGCAGCCTTGCGGCAATCATCACGAGACCTGGCTGGAGCTCCTCAAAGCTGAGGCAGACCTTGGAACCATGGACCTGGACCTGGGCGATGATGATATTCTGCACATGCTGCGGCCCCTCGTAGGGCTGGCCAAAGGCGGCTGCGGGCCAGCCGTGTCGGGCTCGTGGGCATGCGCAGCTGCACGCTGCTTGTCCTGCACGGCAAGTTGTGCAGGTCGATATTGGGTCTTGGAAAAACTGACTCCCTCGCCACTGTATCCTACGAGACGAACCAGCCATGGGCCTGGCGCACGCATACAACTGCTGTGCCAGGTGGCAGGCGCACACGCAAGCGCATGCGCGAGCGCCACCAGCGTCGCAGCGCTGGCGCCTGCCACTTGCGGACTCAGACCAACCTTGGAGGTCCCGATGAAGAGCGGCGGGATGTCGCGCTCCGCTTTCATCTCCATGACACCACTGCAGCCCGTCCTGAAAAACGCCAGCGCCTCGCCCCCAAGCAATACCCCGCTGCTGCTCCCTGGGCCAGCGCTGCCCTGGCTGCCATCGCCTTCACCACCCACGGATGCACCTAACGAAGCTAGTGGCTTGAGCACTGCGCCGCTGCGCGATCTGCGATGATGTGTCAGCACCCGCTGCAGCTGCCCCTGCCCCTGCCCTTCCCCCTGCCCTTGCTGCTGCTGCTGCCGCCGCTGCTGCCGCACTGACGGCTGCCCTGGGTGACTCGTATGAGTGCCCCGTGCTGCCTCTGCAAGCTGCACCTCCCACGAGCTGATGCGTTCGTCCGCCTTCACAGCCGCCACACTGAAACCCCCATCTCTCAGCGCTCGAGCGCTGGCCAGGCCGTCAAGGCCTGCAAGCGGGCCTTGTCCGCTTTCGCCGGCGGCAATCAGCTCGGTTGCGCTGCGGTAGGTTGTTTGGGCCGATGAATGCAGGTGGGAGAGGCGGTGCAACAATCCGACGCCCCAAAATACGCGCGGCTGATCAGCAAGGCAACTGCATTGCAGGCGAGTTGCCGGCGACCCCGTCGCTCCGAACGGCCCACAGCCTGACTGGTTGGTGCGACGAACGGGCATGCACCGCCAGATGTGGGCGAGAGTGCTGCCCTTGCCCCCCCCCCCTGATGCCTAGCACCTACTCACCCAACACCAGCTGCCCTGAGTCGCCGAATGTCATCGCCCCCAATGCTGACCTCAACCACCTCTGCTGTGCAGTAGCCACCACGCAGCAGCTGCCCCAAAGTGTAACCTGTGCGGTTGGCAGCCGGCATGTTGTGTGGTTTGTAATGCGGCGTAACGGGATGATGCGGTGCGCCCAGCTGTGGAGTTGCGCGATGGCGTCGACTTAGGGCCAAATGTTATCCAGAGTACGCTGTGGTATATTGCCCACATAATTGCAGCGCCACACCCCACACCTGCATCTTTGGCCTGTCGCACAGCCAGGCCCCGGCCCCGCCAGTCGCACGCCGCCGCACAGCTCGCCTCTGGCGGCAGCGGCGCGCGAAACGCGGCCGCAGCTGCAGCCGCCCGCAGTGAGACGAGTGCAGCCGCAAGCGGTTCGCTGGCCTCGAGCAGCTTGGATGGCAGCTCGCTGTCGGGCGCGCTGCAGGCGATACCAGCAAGCATCTGTGGGTGGTTGCGATTTGTAAGTGATGGTCATGCAGGATGAACTGGCATATGGGTGCAAGCGAGCTAGTACGACATCCTAAATGTGCGCAAGACCACAGGTGAGCCGGGGTTGCACGTCTATTGCTTCAGGCACTGTGCCTGCCTCACTCGGTCCTTGTGCGCTTCACGCACGACCCCCATAGGCTCAATGCATGCCCACCTGCTGCTGGCTGCAGGGAAGCAGTGCCACTGCCCTGTGTATGTCATCGAGTGAGCACTTCTTTGCCTTCAGGCGCTCGTCCAGATCAGACAGCAGCTCCGACCAGGCAGCTGCCTGCAAGCAATCAGGGATCCACAGGCCGAAAATTATTGCACGTGAGCGCATGCATGTGCACGCATGCGCACACCTGCACGCATGAGTGGTTGGCTGTGTATTATATCCTACACACGCAGCGCTGTGCCATCAACCCTGTCGCCCCACCCATCATGTGATGTTTGCTAGTCGCCAAGCTGACAGCCGCATCCACCGCCGGCCGCCACCTTGAGATCCTGCGCAGGGGCACGCCTCGCCCCCTTGCTCCTAGTAGCTTTCTTGGATCCCTTGCTGCCCTGATGCTTGCCCTTGGTAGCGCTGCCCGCTGCCTTGGCGCCCCCTTTCGCCTTGGGCCCTGGCGCGGCTGGCTGGCCTGCAGCAGGCAGCGGCGGTGGCAACAGCGCGGCCTGGTACTGCACAAGAAACCTAGCGAGCGTAGTGGTCACCTGCAAACGACCAGTGCGTAATGTGTTGCATTACAATGGCTTCAATGGGTGGCGTGTAGTTGTGACGCTCAGCAGCCGAAGGCCTGCACTCGCATGCAGGGGCGCTCAGCGCTAGCGGCGCTGCTGCATAGCGCACCTGCCCCGCCCGCTTCGCCGACTTCTCATCTGCAACACCCTCTGCATGTAACATCGCGCATATTCGAGTCGAAACGACGTTACTTTGCGTTTGCAACGCTGACAGGGCGGCTAGTGTACTCGTCGCCTGAATGTACTCGCCAAGGCAGGACAGGGGGCATTCGCTCGCGAGCCTGGTGTCAAATGTCAAATCGCGTCAAGATACGACACAAAGTTATGGGTATGTTGTGCGTGTACGTTCACGACATCGTTTATGGCAGGCAGTGTTTCAGACCTGGTGGTGCTTCTCGCTCCAACGCTCGTGCTGCTGCTGATGTTGGCTCATTGTTGTCATGTTTGACGACTGTGCAACGACTGTGCAATGCGATGGTTGCGCTGCACAAATGCATGTTGTGGCCATTTCGTGTGTGATCAAACGTGCCACACCACCAAACCTGTGTGGCAGGCGCAGTTCATGGAGAAAGCACATGCCAGGCATCTGCAGCGAGACCTCCGCAGCGGTGCCTGTACATGCTTCACAGCCTAATAAGCATGCACGTGTTCCTGGTGCAGCAGTACACTTCTGAACACGATTGCGTGCGATTACAGCTCATAACTTGTACCGAGCATCAAACCAAAAGGCTGACCACACCTTTGTCAGGGTGTGCAGATAGGTGCGCCACTACGCGGTTCAGCGTTATCAACGTGCGTATGTGGTTGTGGATCCATGTAAGGAAGCCACGCACAAGCCGGCTGAGGGGGTGCAATCGTCGAGTTAAACGCATGCAAAATCTACTGTTGGCAGGGACCAGCATAGGCATTCTATTGCAATCCTTTGAAGATGTCGCATGCGTGAGCTGGAGCATGACCCTACACGTCATGTTTCTGAGGATGGTTGTCTGAGTTGGATGAGCCAAAATCGGGTATCGCAGCAAACGGCGATTGAACAAAGGCCATCACAGGTACGATCACATGGCAGCAGGTAGTGGAAGAGATTGTGTGGTGGAAAAATATCTGCTGTGCTGGTGGACAATCCCTGGCCAGCTTGAGCTTGTGGACCCGGTGAAGGTGGAGGAGCATACAGGTGGGTGGTCGGTAACGGTCCCTGCGGGTTGTGGAAGCACACATGGTTCTTGCGTCATGCATGAATTTCAACTGGGTCAAAAGATGTGTGGGTGTTAAATATGAACATCTTGCTCGCAATTCCGTCGGTTTGGACACATGCAAACGTTTCGTGCAATGTCGTTCGTTTGAACGACTGCGTGACCCACAGGGAGCGGGATGACTCCTCGAGGTTTTAAGCTCCTGAGTAGGATGCTACGAAAATCCACGTGCTGATGAGCGCTCGCTTTCTCGACGCCTCTCCTGAGACTCCACTCATTCACTGCGTGATCTGACGCGCCCAGTCACCCCGCATGGCCTAATACGCAATTTCTAGAACTCGCTCTGACGGTTGACCTCAACGCGCGGTCCACATATCACACGTCCCTCAGCCTCCGCTCGCCCTTCAAACTCGCTGTATGTGCCTCTGAACGCGCTCGCCAGACACTTACGAGATTGCCGTTTAGGCACACGAACCAATTAGCTCGAGGCAGCCTGTGCATACGCGGTGCACACCACACACTGCATTGCAGGAGAGGTGCAGCACAGGCAGCAATGAACACGGCCCTGCGCTTCGGCCAGCAGCAGCTGGCCGGCGCAACTCGTCAGGCCAAGCGAGTGACCCCTGTCAGCAAGCATGCCGGCAGCTCGCGGCGCGCGGTGCAGGTGCAAGCCAGGCTCGGCAGCAGTGGTGGTGCCGCGGCCTCCTTCATGGGCGCCCGCGTGGCCTCGCCCCTGGCGTCTGGCCAGCGTAGGAGCGGTGCCAGGCGCGCCGTGAGGGTGAACGCCATGTTTGAGCGCTTCACAGAGAAAGCGATCAAGGTGGTCATGCTCGCCCAGGAGGAGGCTCGCAGGCTCGGCCACAACTTTGTAGGCACTGAGCAGATTCTTCTTGGCCTGATCGGCGAGTCCACGGGCATCGCTGCCAAGGTGCTGAAGAGCATGGGCGTCAATCTGAAGGACGCCCGCGTGGAGGTCGAGAAGATTATCGGCAGGGGCTCAGGCTTCGTGGCAGTGGAGATCCCGTTCACGCCGCGCGCCAAGCGCGTGCTGGAGCTGTCTCTGGAGGAGGCGCGGCAGCTGGGTGCGCGCCGCTACGCCTGCATCAACCTGGCATTTGTCTGCCTGGCCGGGTTGGGCGGCTGCTTGTTTCGCATGCATCAAGGTTTCAAACATGTTTGAGTGCTGGAGCGCGCTGACCGTTCAATGGCCCAGCAGAATGGACGTACTTCTTGCTCATCGCTAGGGCACTCCCCCACCTGGCACGTCATGGCCACTTGCTTTTACAATCGTCCCTCTCCCACCTGGTCCGCCTTCCCCTAACCGACCTTGCGTCCGCTTCGTTTCTGCTGTTGCACCTTTGCAGGCCACAACTACATCGGCACCGAGCACATCCTGCTGGGTCTGCTGCGTGAGGGCGAGGGCGTCGCGGCACGCGTTCTTGAGACCCTGGGCGCTGACCCCTCCAAGATCCGCACCCAGGTGTGAATGTGGGGATGAGTGAGATCGGCAAGTGTTGCTCGCAAGGCAGTTCACAGGGGCCTTGCCCGGGGCTTAGAGGGAGGGGTTGGGATAACTGGGAGTACGCTGCGGGCAGGTGGCGCCCGGCTGAAGGCCTCCCCCATAGCACGCCTCAGCCGAGACGCAGCCTGCGTGCCAGTTGTGCTTGGATTAAAGACAGAACCTTCACTGCACGTGTGCAATCAGCGTCCTTAGCTCCACTGCATGCCAACCCCCTTACGCGCTTATCCTTTGCACCTCGACGGCCCCGCGCAGGTCATCCGTATGGTGGGCGAGAGCCAGGAGGCGGTCGGCGCGGGCGTGGGCACGGCCAGCGGCGGCACCAACAAGATGCCCACGCTGGAGGAGTATGGCACCAACCTCACGCGCCAGGCGGAGGAGGGCAAGCTGGACCCCTGCGTGGTGGGTGGCTGCTGCTGCTCTTTGGGCATGGAGCAGCGGCTCGCGCGTGCTGGCAGGACGGGGACATGTGGGGAAAGGGTGGGGCTTCAGCGGATGGGCCCGCAAGGCAGTGTTGCAAGCGCAGACAGCAGTGGAGGCTGAAGATAGCAGGCAGCTGATCAGCCCTTTGTACTCCTGCAGCTGCAGTATGGATGCAAGGCTGGTGCAGGCTCGTCCGCTCAGCAGCCCACGTTCCTTCCCCACAAGGCACTGGAATCAAGCAGCGACCTGCCTACATGCATGCAGCATGCACCGCCCACCTTTTTTGCCTTTGTGCGTGTCTTTGCTGGCACCCCTTTTCAATGCCCACCCCCAGGGCCGCAAGAAGGAGATCCAGCGTGTGATCCAGATCCTGGGTCGCCGCACCAAGAACAACCCCTGCCTCATCGGCGAGCCCGGCGTGGGCAAAACCGCGGTGGCGGAGGGCCTGGCGCAGCTCATCGCCAGTGGGGACGTGCCGGAGACGATCGAGGGCAAGCAGGTGCGTGCCTGAGATGGTCTGTGTGGTCTTCGTTTGATTGTGGGAACGGGGCACGCTCGGCTCGGGCTACAGGACGCGCGGCGGTAAGCATGGGTTGGTGCTGGTTCGTGTCGGTGAAGGCGCGCAGGGCGTTGCATGTTGCGGCTGAGGGCTGGAGACGCAGTGAACAGCGAACAGCAACCACAGTCACACCAGCTCCTCCTGTGCATAGCATGCTCGCATGCTGACATTCTCGCACACCCCTGACCCGCGGTGAAGGTGGTGACCCTGGACATGGGCCTGCTGGTGGCGGGCACCAAGTACCGTGGTGAGTTTGAGGAGCGCCTCAAGAAGCTGATGGACGAGATCAAGCAGAACGACGACATCATCCTGGTGGGTGCCTCGGGGTGGGGGGTGATCAGGGCAGGCGAGTGCGCCTGTGTGCGCACGCGCGTGCTGCAGATGGCAGAGGACGTGGTTAATGGGTGTGGAGCAGGACATGCACCAGGCCGTCACTCCGGCCAAGGAATGCACTTTGTGGATGTCGGGGCGGGTTGTTGCGGCGGTGGCGTAGCAGGTTCTCAGCTGACGCCGCTGGCGCTCTGCGCTGCTGGAGCTGTGGCCTCTGACCAGCTGCGCAGCGGACGCTTGCAGTATGCGCACTGGGCCTGTGCAATGCCAATCACGAGTGGCGTGCGCAGAATGCCAGCCTTGCCAATCATGGTTGATCAGCACTTGGCACTCCCTCGCATGGTGCCTCCCGCCTCGGAGGAGACGAGCGCTCTTTCGTGATGCAAACCCCTTCAACCCATCACCCTTCCTCACCCCCAGATGATCGACGAGGTGCACACCCTCATCGGCGCGGGCGCGGCCGAGGGCGCCATCGACGCCGCCAACATCCTGAAGCCCGCGCTGGCGCGTGGCGAGCTGCAGTGCATTGGGGCCACCACGCTGGACGAGTACCGCAAGCACATCGAGAAGGACCCCGCTCTGGAGCGGTGCGCATGCGTGGTGTCTTTGTGTGCTTGTGTGTGCTTGTGTGTGTGCGTGCGTGTGTGTACGTGTGCATGTGGTGTGTGTGTGTGTGTTTGTGTGTTTACGCACGTGCATGTGTGGGGTGTGTGTGTGTGGTGTGTGTGTGGGGGGGGATTTGGATGGGTAGGGCCATCATGCATACCTGTGTTTGTGCATGGACGCAAATAGGGCGGTGAAATTGCTCTCAAGGCAGTCAGGGAGAAACGAGGACCCAGCCCTGGAGTAGCGCCTGGCGGCAGCGACGTCCGCTGGAAAGCGTGCTCGCTTTTGCTGGCTGTGGCTGCCGGCAGGCTGACCAAGGCAGCTGCCGTCCCTGCGCCGCCTGACCCTGAACGTTGGCATTCTCGCGCACGCCGACGCCTCGCTGCCTTTCAGCCGCTTCCAGCCCGTGGTGGTGCCTGAGCCCACCATCGACGAGACCTACGAGATCCTGCAGGTGGGCGCACGGCCGCGGGTGGGGTATGATTGACAGCGTGGCGCTGCGCGCGGCCGGCGGCTCCTTAGGCGGAGGGCGGGCGGGACAGCAAGGCGTTGAGCAGGTGCAACCGCAGCTAGCTGTATGGTCTGGGACGTGAAATCAGGAGCCGCTGTTTGGGCGGCAGGTGGCGCATGGGGAGGGTGTCCAGGGTCGTGGTGGCCTAGTGGCCTGACTTAGTTGTGGTGCCCCGGTCCCCCGCCCTCCCCCGCCCCCACAGGGCCTGCGCGAGCGCTACGAGTCGCACCACAAGCTGCGCTACACCGACGACGCGCTGATGGCGGCCGCCAAGTTCAGCAGCCAGTACATCAGCGACCGCTTCCTGCCCGACAAGGCGATCGACCTCATCGATGAGGCCGGCAGCAGGGTGCGGCTCAGGCACATCCAGCTGCCCGAGGAGGCGCGGGAGCTGGACAAGGAGCTCAAGCAGGTGGGGGGGGGGCTGTGGTTGGAGTGGTGGGGAGTGTGTGTGTGAGTGTGGTGTGTCGGCGTTTGTGTGTGTGTGTGTGTGTGTGCGCGCGCGCGCGTGTGTGTGTGTGTGTCTCTATGCACGTATGTTTGAACTGTGTTGCTTGGGAGGTTAAATCAGGGGCAAGCGCCGCAGGCAGCGCGGAGGGGGGGTAGCTGCACAGACGTCTGTGCGGTCCTTGGTTGTGGTTTGTGGGTGGTCTTGGATTGGCAAGACCGCGCTGCGTGACGGGAGCTCTGGCACCCTGCTTGAAAGAGGGGCGCCGCGGTTGCGAGGCTGGTCGGCACGCTCCGATGCCCCGCGGAGGCTGGGCGCGTCAGTATGCAGATTTCGCCCCTGACGCCCCCTCCCTTCCCTGGAGCCACCCGGGTCTTGACCTCGTTCCTGGGACCCGCCTACACACCCCAAACCTTCGCTCAGTTTCAAAATAGAAAGGACCTCACGGGATCCGCGCGGGTGTCCGCGCTATGAAAGAGCATGGTGCACTTGAAACTCTCCTGATCCCGCTCGGTGCCACACTGTCTGCCGCCCTCCCCCCCCAGGTGACCAAGGACAAGGACGCGTCGGTGCGCGGCCAGGACTTTGAGAAGGCGGGGCAGCTGCGCGACAGGGAGATGGAGCTCAAGGCCAAGATCAGCGCCATCATCGCGGGCGCCAAGGAGACCAGCAAGGCCGAGGCCGAGTCGGTCGAGGGCGGCGGCCCGCAGGTGGGGGCGCGCGCGGGTGGCCGCTGGGCCTGGTCAAAACACAGGCCGGGCTCGGCGCTCGGCGTAGAGCAGGCCGCGGCTGACCAGGCGGCAGCAGAGCGTCTTCAAGACAGCTGCCCTGGCCGCGCGGTCGTGTAAGGCCTGCCTGCCGGCGATGCTGCCACGCTAATGCTCGCCGCCCTCCTATTTTTCGCCACTTCCCTCCCCCAGGTGACTGAGGCGGACATTGCCAACATTGTGGCGCAGTGGACGGGTATCCCGATCGAGAAGGTATCCAGCGATGAGACCGAGAGGCTCATCAAGGTGGGTGTCTGATAGGGCCTGCGAGGTGTGGGGGTGTAGGGAAGGAGCGGACAGGCTCGTGGTTTCTAGTGAGGGGTTGGGCTGGGTAGTAGGGCGTCGGGGCGTTGCATGGAAAGGGGCAGCAGGCCCTGGCTGTGGGCGCACGGCTGGCGGAGCAAACGGGCCGAAAGCGGTGAAGGAGCAACGACCGGGCGTGGCAGCCGGCCATGCAAGCAAGGATTGCCACCGCTGTCAACACCTGAACCGCCACACTTTATCCCCTGCCTGACTTCTGTCAGCCCTCTTCACATCTGCATTGATCTGCGCCCCCAAACCAATTCAAACCAATCGCCCTCCAGATGGAGGAGGTCCTCCACGGCCGCGTCATCGGCCAGGACGAGGCAGTCTCCGCCATCGCGCGCGCCATCCGCCGCGCGCGCGTCGGCCTCAAGAACCCCAACCGCCCCATCGCCTCCTTCATCTTTGCCGGCCCCACGGGCGTGGGCAAGTCGGAGCTGGCCAAGACGCTGGCCTCGTACTACTTCGGCAGCGAGGAGGCCATGGTGGGTGCACTGAACCGAGAGCTGGGGGTTGATTTTGCTGGGTGTTGTGGTTGCTGTGTGCGACGACGGGGGAAAAGTGGTGAGTGGCGGTCCTGTGTTCACTGTGTGCATTGACAATGAGGAGAGGCGAGCGGTGGGTGCGCCACCCACTGTGGCGGCCAAACGGACGCGTGGCTCTGTGTGGGTGCGTGCCGAGCCGTGAGCGATCGTGAAACGACCTGCATGCACCCCGAAAACCTCCCAACCCCGGCCAACCCCCCCCCACCCCCAACCCCACCCCTCACCCCCCCCGCCCAAAGGTCCGCCTGGACATGTCTGAGTTCATGGAGCGCCACACGGTGTCGAAGCTCATTGGGTCTCCCCCCGGCTACGTCGGCTACAACGAGGGCGGCCAGCTCACAGAGGCCGTGCGGCGGCGGCCGTACACGGTGGTGCTTTTCGATGAGATCGAGAAGGCCCACCCCGATGTGTTCAACATGATGCTGCAGGTGGGGGCTTGAATTTGGACGACGGGGAACAGCTCGATTGGAGGGTCGCTGGGGGATCGGGCCTGATGAGGGGAAGACATACAGGCGTAGGCTGGGTTTGAGGAGCTGCTAGGGGCCGCGCAACTGCGACCTGACAGTGTTCTTTACTGGCAGGGTGCTGTTCTGGGGGCAGGTGGGTTGGCACGAGCAAGCGGACAGCAGGTCCACATGGGTGCAGGCTGGCCCCCTCTACTCCCCCACCTGCCTGCCCCCACGGGACGTGGCGTTACCGCGATTGCCCTGGCGTCCACGTCCTGCGATATGCGCTGCCTCTCCGTCCCCTCTCCCTCACCCGTCCACCCCCACTCCCACCCTCACCCCCAGATCCTGGAGGACGGCCGCCTGACCGACTCCAAGGGCCGCACGGTGGACTTCAAGAACACGCTCATCATCATGACGTCCAACGTCGGCAGCAGCGTCATCGAGAAGGTGCGGGCGCGCACAAAAGACCACAGACAAAGCTGGCATCCCACCCCCCCCCCTCCCTGCGGGCTGCACAGCCGCCGGCGACGCGCCGCTGCTGCGTGTGCGGGCGCCTGGGTGCTGGTCTTACGTGTGGGCGTCTGTGTGCGTGCTGGCTTGGCAGTGAGCAGGGGGGTGTCCTGGAAGCAGCACGCCCTCTCCCTCCAACCTCCCCGCACACCCACTCATTCAAGCAAACCCCCTCCTCGACCCTCCGCCCCCTCAGGGCGGCCGCAGTTTTGGCTTCTTCCTGCGCCCCGACGACGACGACAGCGCTGAGGACATGAGCTACGGCCGCATCAAGTCGCTGGTGGGCGAGGAGCTCAAGTCGTACTTCCGGCCCGAGTTCCTCAACAGGCTGGACGAGATCATCGTGTTCAGGCAGCTGACCAAGAAGGAGGTCAAGCAGATCGCGGACATCATGCTAAAGGACGTGTTTAAGCGCGCCGAGGAGAAGGTGGGGGCAAGCTGCGGGGAAGCTGCGGGGTGTGCGTGAGAGGGCGGGGATCAGGGTGCATGTGGGCGTGCAACTGGCGCGTCGGCTCCAGCAGGGCGGCGCCCCTGCTGTGCCAATGTCACACTCCCCGGCTGGCCGGGGTGCGCGGCGCTGGTGAGCGCCGACTGCTGGTTCCCAGCCTGCGTCTCGTGACCACTTCCCTGGGCTGGTCACTCCCATCCAGCACAACCTTGCGCCACTCCCCCCCTTTCCCCTCCCCATAGGCCCTGAAGCTGGAGTTCACCGAGAAGTTCAAGGACCGCCTCGTGGACGAGGGCTTCAACCCCACCTACGGCGCCCGCCCCCTGCGCCGCGCGATCATGCGGCTCATTGAGGACTGCCTCGCGGAGCGCATCCTGTCGGGCGACGTCAAGGAGGGGGACGTGGTCATCATGGACGTCGACCCCGACGGCGCGATCGCGGTGCTGGCGGGCGACAAGAAGATGCGCCAGGTGGGTCCTCCGCTGCTCTGTGGGCGCTCCCTAGGGTGCCGGGCTGCAGCCTTCACATGCAGGGAGTGGGCGGCGCTTAAGGTGTGCGCCAAGGAGGGGTGTGTGTGCCAGCGTCTGCGCGTGCGCAGGCGGGAGGGCTCATGTTTGGCCCCCTCGCGGCTCGCCCACGCGCGCAGGTGTTGGACGCCACACCCGCGGGCATCTCGTAAAGAGCGGCGGCGTAGGCGGGCGGCGCCGGCCCTCCCGCCGTGCGGGGAGGTTGGCCGCTTCGGCTGCGGCTGCGGCTCGGACTGGCGCCGCGGCACGTTGAGCGTCGCGCGCGCGCGGCGAGTCTCTCTATCCCTCTTCTCATGTGTTGGGCTCGAGCCTGGCCGCGGGTCCACTTGTGGGCGCGGGCGCGTGCACGCGCGCGGCGCAGCAATATTCAGCCGCTCGCCGCCGCGCTGCCGCAGGCGGCCCAGCGCACGGTCGCAGCGCGGCCGCCATTGTCAGGCGCGCCCGCGCGGGCCGCCCCACCTCGCTAGGCACGCGCCGCGCCTTCAGGCGGGCCCTGGCGTTTCGTGGTTTGTTAGGCACCCAGCGCTGCTGCGTCCCTGATGCATGCTCACACCCATTCAACGTGGCGCCTCTGCATGGGCACGCCCCTCCCGACCCTTTGCCTCATAAGTCATGACACTGCGCGGCGGCGGGAGCGCATGCCCCCCGGCGTGCAGGCAGGCTGTGTACAGTGATTGTCCCTGCGCCGGGGGCGTTCGTGGCGGCCGGCCAGGTCCGCAGGCGCTCCCTTTGCATCCGCGCGCCGCCCATCCCCGTTGGGCCAGATCTGTCTGCTGAGCTGCGGCTGCCTGGCGGCTGTCAACCTGTGGCTGGGTCTGGGTCAGCGGGTGTTGCATGGACGGCTGTGTAGCTGTAGCCCTGTAACCCCAATGTTGCTGCAGTCTGGCTTGTAGCCGATTAGTGGGATGAGGTGCTTTGCGTGTGTGTGTGTGTGTGTGTGTGTGTGTGTGTGTGTGTGTGTCAACTGCGCAGCGCCCTTAAAGACGCATTCAGCCTGTGCAGAAGCTGACACAGGAGACGCGACATATAAACAAGCCCATTACATAGTGCCGTTACCACGAAATAGAAAGGCAGGCATGCGACAGACGGCACGACTGCAGGCGGTTACAGTGGGGAGCGCGGGAAGACTGATCATGCGTTGTGAGTGCGTCCCGGCTCTCCTTGCCAAAAGGTGATGCCGGGCGCCCTTGAACTGGGCCGCTTTCAAATGGCAGCGGGTGAAAGATGGCCTTGCGGCATCCTTTGGCCCTGCAACTTGTGCCGGAGCTCCCCTGCCTCTGCGGCAACAGCTTGGAATGCCAGCTCGCGGCAAAGCGGGCAGCCCATCGCTGCGGGCATCACAAATTGACAACGCACACACCTGGTCCAACACACGTCAAATGCACGGTCAAGATCGCAACATCTCTCCGGTCAAACATTGACCAGGCCCGGGTCAGTCCACGTAGTCCTCGGGGGCGCGCGCCTCAAGAGGCGTGTCGCGCAGGTACACCCGCAGTTCGCCCCGGTCGCCGCGCTGCGGGGGTTTTGGGCGGTTGGGTGGTTTTTCAAGCTGGTGTGCTGTGGCGAAAGCTGCCAAGGGCAGTTGGCGGCGCGGCGAGCGAGCCCAGGATTTTGCCGTTTGGCACGGCACAAGCACGGCCTGAACACACAGCTCGGATGCTGGCGCCCTGGCGATATGGTTGCTGGGGAAAGCGCCAAGGCACAACTCCAATCCTGGCTAAAGCACGACCACAGTCGGCCGCATGCCCACACGCCGTCCCACCCTCATCAAATCCAACCCCCACCGTAATGCGCATGCTCTTGTCCAGGTATGTCACGTCGAACGCCGCCGCCCGCCAGTCCCGCGGCGGCCGCAGGAACTCCGGCAGCTGCGGCGCCTCGAGCCGCGGCAGCCGCGCCAGCAGGTCTGGGCCGATCGCGTTGACCGCCGTGTCCTCGTAGACGATCTTGACCGTGGACGGCGCGATGACCTCAAAAGAGTGCCCGAGCGAGAGCCGCACGCCCGGCGCCGGCGCGCCGCGGGCGCCGGCGGCGGGGTTGAGGGAGGAGGGGAGCGCGGCGAAGAGGTTGAGGGTGGGCAGGGCGGCGAAGAACTCCACGATGTTGTCCAGGCGGGCCTGCAGAGGGGTTGGAGGTGTGCGGTCGGGTGACGGGGGGAAGTGGCTGGCGGGTGAAAAGGCAGAGGGGGGGCCTCTGGGACCAGGGGGTGACCAGGGGTGTGGAACACGAATACTTTGATTGGTCAGGCAAAAGCGGGCGAGACTGCACACCCGGCAACTCGAGTGCTGCAGCATGGCCAGCGGTGTGGGCTGCGCAATGTGAGGCACACATGATGCCGGACGCGCCCGCAGGCGCCATGGAAGGTGGGTGGCGAGAAGCTGCCGCAGGAGCTGACTCACCCCCTGGGGGTCAATGACCTGGTAGATCTGGCCCAGCACCAGGGGCACAAAGGCGGCCGAGGGGCCAGGCCGCCGGCCGCCCAGGCTGCCGCTGTTAAAGCCGGAGCTGCGGGTGGGAGTGGAGTGATAATGTATGCAGGTTGACAGAACCTTCGGCCAGTGTGTGCAAGCGCTGGCAACAGAAGCCACAAGCTCCGTCTCGCCTCCAAAGCCAGCTGCGAGTGCAGCGTCAGAGGCAAGGGCAGAGTCCCCTTGCGTAGCTGCGCCGAGTCGGCGCCTGCGAGGGGGAGCAGGGCAGCCACGGGCGCAGCAGAGGGTCCATGCCGGCCCCGGTCACAAACACGCGAACGCCCGCCGCGCCTCACCTGTAGATCAGCCGCCAGGTTCCCCCCAGCTGCTCCATGCTGCTCTGGTCCGGGCTGTCCGCCGACGCCGTCCACTCCAGGCTCACGAGCCCGCCGCCGGCCGCCTCCAGCCGCGCAGCCAGCCGGTCGACGTCCTCTGACTCGCGCACCTGGGGGTGAGGGAGGACGGCAGTCCAAAAGGCATGCCGTGTGGTTGTTTGGATCAAAAAAACAGGCAAGTACAGCAACTTTCCTATAATTGCTGACGAGCTGGGCGACAAATTCAATTGGTCCAGGCGCTGCAAACCGACAATGGGCTGCACGCGGGCACCGCGCGCCCTGCCGACGCGAGCGACAGCGGGAGTGCTGGCTGCCTTTGTTGGCCGCGCTCACGTTTGCCGCCAGGCCGCGGTCCAGGCTGGCCACAGCCGCCAGCAGCTTGATCTGAGGTCACGGCCAGGCATCGAGGTTGGGAGGGAAGCATAGATTCAGTGCCAGCGACGGCCAAGGGTGCAGCAGGGCGCCAGGCCTTTGCAAGACGAGATGTTGCGTGTTGCGGTCGCACCACGGGCGCTGCGCCACCTCACATACAACATGATGAGAGGGTGTGGGACAACTTGTACTGGGGTGCACCAGTCACCCTCACTGCTCTCAACCCCAAAACCGCCCCACCTTGAGCTTCTCTGCCTTTTTCGGGTCCGCCGGCTGCGCGGCCCGCGCCCCGCCAAAGCTCGCCGGCTGCTCCGGCGCCCTGACCGTGGCGGTCGCGCCCGCCAGCAGGTCGTTGGTCGCGCCCGCGGCCGCGTCAATGAGAGCCTCGGTCACGCCCAAGGCCGAGGCGGTGGCGTCGTCGACCGCCCCCTGCAGGTCTGCCGCGAGCACCTCGGCGGCGCCCAGCGCCGCGGCGCGCACGTCGTCGACGGCGTCGGCGGTGCCGGCCGCGGCCGCCTCCGCGGCGCCGCGCGCGTCGGCCGCCGCGGCCTGGGCGTTGGCGTTGAGCGTCTCGGCCA